TTCTGGTAGTATCTGGTAGTATGTTTCTATAGTTGTTGTACTTGTAAGTGATTTTTTGAATTATTTCAGAATTTTCGACTTTGTTGTCATAAATATTTGAGGAGGCATATTTTTGCTAGACATCACACATTTGTTCTGTAATTGGAGAGATCAGATAAGAAAAAAGAAACAACGCAAAATGGCATTAATGTCTTGCAAAAATATTTTTTAGTTTTTGTAAAAATATTTAAACTAGAAAAAAGAAATTAAATCCATGCTGCATTGAAAATTATTTGCCTAACAAGCAAAAGAAAAACGTAACTTCTCTTAGAGAAAAAAAATCAAAATAAAAGGAAATTTAAATATTTATTTACTCTTTATTCAAAATTATAAATATAAAAAAAATTAGATAAATATATTATTTTTTAATGAATATCCGCCAGATATGGAGTAGAGAATTTAGAGTTTCTTTTGTGAGATACTATGACTATTTACAAAAGTACATGAGCTGAATGATTTCAAAGGGATTAAAACTATATACATTATTTTTTTGAATGAAATTAATAATACATTATGTTGGACTATTTTTTGCCAGAGCCTAGAGGAAAGTGTACCTACCATACTTGAAAGGTTACAAATTTATTTGTGATATTACCCTTGGTGCAAAATACTTTCAACAATAATCGAATATTACTTGATAAACTCAATAATTAACTAAAATAAAAATTACATTCCGTGTAAAAAGTTTTGTTAAAGAAAAACAACAAATTCATCAATCAAATTTTAATTTTTTTGCCTTAAAGATGACTTCATCGTAACAACAGACTAGGCAACACAACTATGGCAACGCCTCACCTTCCTACATTTTTTATACGTTGACTGAATTATGATCTTCAAGTTATTCTGCAATTATTTTATAATCGCAAACGAAACATATTACTGGAAGGCGAAACCTTAGTTTCGGGAAGAGAAAAAGTTATACGTAGCCCCTTGTGAAAGGTAATAGGTTCTAAGCTTGGTCGTTTGCATTCCTTGACTCTTTACCAAAAACTTTTATAGAAAAGATGGATTTCTGGATACAATTCCGATTCCGGGTATGCCAAATTCACAGATTTGAGAAACTTATTCCTATATTCCTTTGTTTGTCTTACACAACAAAGTAAGTTGATTTAATTTACTTCAACAGATATCGAGGTTTTAAGTTCCTAACTTTGACAAAGATTTAACTAATAAAAACCCCCACTACCTCCACTTACGCCCCATCTACTTGCGCTACTTCCATGCTGTCGGGCTTAGATAAATCTAGCCCACTAGGTATTAAGCCTTTTGCACATATTTCTCTTTCTTAATTACTGAAACGAAGTTTTCAAATTGCCGTGAAAATTTTCTGCATTCATTCCTAAAAGGTAATTTTAGTGGGTTTAAGTCCCACACTTTGGCTTTTGATGCTTTCGACCTACTGCAAAAAAAAAAAACCTAACAAAAACTATATATATCATCTAGTGCCAACTACTATACTTTTTTGTTGATTTTTATATAAAAAATATGACCTGAAAAACCCGAATTCTAAATACCTCGATATCTTTAAAAAATCTGTTGTTAATAGAAGTGTTCAATAAATCAGAATCGTGCCATTTTATGTCCCTATAAGATATATAAAATTATGATTACAAACACTAATGGGTACAAATGCTGGGTATTAAATCTCACCAAGTCTGGAATTACTGAATGGTAACAACTTACAGAACCGAAAAAATTGTGGCGTTTACTTCTATGAGTGCATTAAAAAGATAAATTTCGGTTACTTTTTACACAGAATGTATGTTTTTTTCTTACGTAGGATTTGAAGTCTTGTATTTCTGGTTTTTGGTATATATAAAGTAAAGTACTTTAAGGACTACTTTGATCAGAGATACATTAGCATTGCTACACATCAATAATGAAAGCTTAAAGGTAATCAAATGTGAAAGGTAAATGAATTATTTATAATAATATACTGACATCTATTATGAGAGGTTAAAGGTACTCAAATATGAAAGGTAAACACTTTTTATTAGAATAATATTCTAACGGTATAAATAAAAAATTAGTGGTCATATAGAAACGTCAACTTAATCTATGAATTTATACTTAATCTTATATAAGATGAATTATAAGGATATCGAGTAAATAAATACGACAATTAGTTACACACCAAACTAATTTTAAAATATCTACGAATTTTGAGGAAGGAAGTATAAAAAGGACTCTGTGGAAAAAAGAAATAATAAAAAACAAACATGTTATATTTCATATTGATGTTTCTATCTAAGGAAGGTGGAATAAAAAGATGAACACGTAATATTCTTTTATTAGCGATTATAAATCACAGGAAGAAAGGACAAAAAGGGCATATAGAATTGGTAACTCTATATTTTAAGTTTACTTTGAGGTCTTATATATCATAATTTAAGGTATTCTTTAGAAATCATAACATTTTCTGATAGATTCAATATATAATAAGAACTGAATAGAAAGGTCTTCAAAATAACTATATATATATATATATATATATATATATATTAAATCCTTTAACTCCTAGGAGGAATATAGGAACGCAAATAACTATCAAACTTTAAATTATTGTAAGGTAAGTCCTATAAAAAATATCTGATTCTATCTGTATACAGATAGAATTCCGATTATAAAGTCGAAAATTCTAGCGACCCTACTTCGATTATTTTTGGTTCTGAACTACCTTCTTTAAAACCTTTAGAGAAATGATTGCTGCCTAAAGTAACTTCTTACTACTTGTATGCGATTACTCTAAAACTACTTGGATGGACTACTTGGATACAAATTTCTTATTGCTTTACACAAATAATGCTTTATAAAAAATAATTTATTCTATACAATAATTTAAAATTCATAAAAAAACAAATAAATATGAATGGCATTTTAATTGACCAATTGTTATTGTGACCGCTACTGGATTCCGGTCAAAGACGATACATGGCTGTAAAGACCAACCAAGTGAAAAAAAATCATATTTATCAAAAAATCGGAATTATTTAAAAAATTTAATTGGGCTCATTGAATAGATTAAACCCAATGATTGAAAAAAAAATTCGTTCTTTTTAATACATTAAGTGTATATTATGTAAAATGATTTGAAAAAAAAAAAACCTCCAATTAATGAAGAAATTTAGAGTAAACCTATTTTTTCTTAAGTAACGTGGTTCAAAACTTACTGCTATAAATACTTTTTTTAACAATTTAAAATTCATATTTGTTTAAAAAAATCATTATTAAGGGATAAAAAAAATGTCCCAAAATAATTATTTTTTGACGCACAAAAATTTTAATAAAAAATATAAAAACTATTTTTAAATAGTTTTTGCTAAAAATAAAAACGAAAAAGTAATTTTCAAAATTAGCCAATTTTTAATTAAAAAAAATAAAATAATTTATATAATATCCTTTTTATAGATATGATAATTGCTAATAACAATACGGAATCTTATAGTCCCAACAAAAAATTGATGGATATATTAAAGGTCAAGACTACTGCAATATATATTTATATATAATAATTTAAAAAGCTAAGATTTAAAGTTCTTATTTTAAAAGTATAAGACTCATAAGAACAGTATATTATTATTATTATTTTTATTATATGAAGGAACTTTGCATTGCGACATTAGGATTAATTGTGTTCTTCAATACTCTTCAGGAAATCAGAAACTTTAAACAATCTCTTGGACTACAGCGAAACACATAGTATGATTGAGATAGGAAATTACATGGGTTCTGATGTCACGATGGTCTCAACGTTTTTCGATATGAAGAAAATGTAATCAATATTTCTTCGATTTCGATTATTTTAAAAAATTTTAGTATTGAACTCTTGTTTCTTTCGGATATTGTACAACTCTAAAATATATTTTATAGTACGACGAGCTTACTTAGTTCTGATTTAAAATACTCTACTGAAATGTTATCTAAAATCTTACTACAAAATCTTTAAGAAATTCTTGGTGGATCAGAACTACTGCTTCAGAAAATCCTCCGAAAAAAGTATTGAAACATGCCCACCATATGTGGGCATGATTATGTGATATAGGTGGAAAAAAATTGGTCTAAGTGTGGCTTACGAAATTCGAGAAGAATTAACCTTACCCGAACATTTTAGTGCTATTTTGGATAAGATTCTTTCGTTTCAAATTCCAGAACTAGTACTAGCTAGTAAATGCTAGTAATCATAGTGTGAAAATGAAGTTAAATGATATCATTTAACTAACGTGACGCCACTCTTAGCAGATAACGTTTCAGGGTCAAGGATAAAAAATCCTACGTTTCAGATTCCAGAGCTAATACTACCTAGTAAACGCTAATAATCATAGAGTGAAAATTAAGATAAATAATTTTCGAGATAAATGATATCATTTCACTATCGTGAGTTCGTTTCGGGGCCAAGGATAAAAAAATCATTTTATTATTGTATAATAGATAAACCAAATGACAGTGATATGAGATTTTTCATTGCGATTTTATTCGATCGTATATTTTTATAGTAAATCATTTGCAAAAAATGGTTGAGAATAATGAAGGGTTGGGAATAATTTTTCATCCGTTATAATTTTCAACTATCATATCCATTGACTACTCTTTACACAAAAACAACTGTACTTGTATTAGCAGTTAGAATAGTTTGCTATGACCTGAGATCCTTAATGCAAAAAAAAAGATGGGTTTTTTAAAAAAAAAAATAGTTTCAGGTCTTAATTGGTTAATGAAATCAGTTTTTTTTTTTTAAAAAAATAGATATATTGATTAGGTCTTAATTGGTTATTAGATTCATGCCATCACTTAACGACTTCATTATATGCAAAAACAAAAACTGCAAAACAAAAATCAATATCAGCTAATAATAATTACTAATCGATATAAAAAAATTGTAAAACGCGTATTAAAAACTTCAAATACTCAAAATTGAACTCTAAATAAGTGTGATTGTGTTTGGTATTTATTTACAAACTTTATTTATACAAACGTTATAAACCATAAAAGTATCTAAATACAAACGTATTTACAAATCACAATAAATGAATGATTAAAAAGTGTTTCGAAAACGTTCGATTTTCACACAGATTTCATAGCATTTAAATTAGTTTTGACTGACTGCTAAAGGGTAAAGCGGTACATGGAAAGCAATTCGTATTTATCATCCAAAACTACAACAAAAATGAAATTTCGTAAAGCTTTTAAAAAAACTTGTAGTACTCAAATCTAAAAGCTGATGACTGACTGACAATACGCAAATGGGCTGTGATGGATAGATAAAACGTTTTTTTTTATTTAATGAAGGACGGGATGCGCTTCTAAGAGGGTTTTCAATTTGTATATTTAAAAATTGTTAACTACTGCTCTGACAATTCAAATACAACTGACTCGGGAGGAACGGATGACGCTGGCGGTACCCTTAGTACCTTTTGACCCCGAAAGCATATCGTATACAACCAATTCTTTCGGCCACTTTTTGTCTCACTGCTGTGGTTGTTGTTTGTGTGTAGCCGACGATCGCTGCTGTTCGATAGACGTCCAGTTATATGCGTACGTGGGTTAAGATTCTGATGCGGTGTCGTCTGTAACACAGTTGTACTTGCTTTACGCCCATTGTTACGTTTATTAGGTGGTGAATTATTTCTAAAATATGATATGAATTGATCATTTTAAACAATTTGTTATTTAATAAGTACAAAAAGTACAATTAAGAGTACCTTTTGCCATCCGGTTGCGGATGTCCTTCTGTGTCGGGTGCTGTATTGTAAGCACCTGATAGCATGGATGCACGCTTAGGCACCCATTCTGGATGACCCCGTACGGACATATAAACTGCAAGACTTTTAAGGAGTACGGCTCGTACCTTTAATGAAATATGTAAATTGAATAATAACAAATTTGTACGTAAAGGTTGGATTTAAGCAAGCGTGAGTGTCAAAAATAAATTAAAAATGAACTCAAAAAAATTAAATAAAAAATTTAAAACAAGTTTGAACCATAGTTTGGCTTATTTCATTCAAAATGAAATAAAATATTTTATTTGTTGCGTTTAGTGGTATCTTATCTAGGCGAATTAAGTCTTGATTAGGTGAATTATTTGATATGAAAATGCAATAGGTTAACCAACATATTATATATGTTAGTCTAAGTTATATGGCTAAGATATTGCCATATTTTCTTTATTTAATAATAAAATTTATATGTCTTACTATATCAAGAAATATTTATTTCTTATTATTAACATTTAATGCTTATTGAACACAGCTTTTTGAACAAAATAGAAGAATTGTACTTTCGCTGAACATTTGTTTCAATTTCTTTACCTCAATAAACGTCAATAACCTTTACACAATAGTCAAATATTTTTTACTGTCCAAATGTATGTTCCCAAAAATTATTTTAAAGACAGATTTTTTTTCAATAACATGGAAATGGAACAAACCAATACACAATATTACTGCAAACTATTAAACCAACCCTGAGAATATAATGTGTTTCTTATAATTTATTTAAAAATCCAGACGAATCTAATGCTATTGAGTAAGACTCTTCTAAGCGTTATCTGAATTCTTAACGCTCAAAATAATCATGAAAGCGGCTTGGTAGTTTTATTGAGCGTATTGACCGCTTAGCTATATAGTATATACGTAACGAAGTACTAAAACCGGCAACTCACATTTAAGCAAGACTCCTTCTTTTTGAGGACAACACCCATCGTCACTGGTATATGTTATCCACACTTATGGATAAATAAATATAGATTTATTGATAATGGTCCATGGACTCAAGTCCACACCCGTAATTTAATGAGGTTTTATCATCAACTCGAAAGAAACATTAACATCAACAACAATAATAGATATGCAAATGATCATATTACAAGAATGTAAGAGTCTGATAACGGTAGCTGTGGTAGCGTAACCTCAAATGAAGGTTTCAAAGAATTGCAGTAAATTTGATTGTGATTTATAGAATATAATTGGTCATCAGGATGTGAATCAAGACAGTATAGCAGAGTCATTTTGCTGTTTATTCACAAAATAATAACAGCGACCATTTGATTTAAAGTGCCTCGAGTGTAAACAAATATTGGAAAATCTATATAGAAAACAGCTGTGTTTGAGCTCATATGCATAAACCTATAACTGACCAGGTGCCTCAATATTATAGACAGCGTTAAAGGCACCGTCTTTAAATTTATTGATAATATGTTAATATTGTAACAATCAAGATTTTATCAAATTTCATGAAATCTTAATGAAAACAAAGTCAATTGTTGACTTAAAGAGCACTGGTGAAAGTAATGTCTTAGTTTGTCTTCATTTAACATTATGTCATCTGACACTATTTCATCTCACACAATGTCAATTGATAATCATTATCATGTTCCATGATTTTTTGCATGGCATCTATTGTTTCTAAATACAACTACTGTTCTGGACGTCATTCACAAGTATCATCGTCATCATTGAGCTATTGTCCAACTCGATCAAATTCGTTATACCAACGTTTTAAAGTTGCAAAGTATGGGGCTTTATTGTCAAAAATGGGAATTAGGTTACCGGTACACTCAGGATTTTATAAGATACATTTAACATCACAATGAAATATGTCATAAAAATTAATTTCATATTTATGCTGAGTCACTACAAAACAGTACAAATCACTGTCAAATAATGAAATTTTCGGAATAAGATAGTGATGATTTTAAAAGCGATGAAATCTTCACAAGCAATACTTACCGACCTCAAGACATGCAGCAAAATGTCACTTCGAGTTTTGGTAGCAAAAACAACAATAAGACAGCTAGCACTCAACAATACTCTTAGGATTGTCAATGTTTACAATATAAATAATAACCGTCGCAAAACTTCAGAAAACTGGGTCCCAAAATGTAGAGCAGAGGCAGTTTTAGTGAATTATGTTGATTAGTTTTGACATTAATTTTATTTTTTTTTTACATGATGCTACTTTTACTACTGGTGTATACAGGAAATAGAGCTTTTGAAATTTTTGAGCACACTGCATAGTGCATCCACGGTTGCCACTCGAAAATTTTTTCCTGTACCAAAATTGGTTTAAAAAGGTACCATTTCTGTAAAAAAAGGTCCAAAATTTTTTTGGACCTTTTTATTTTTTTTTGTTCTGTGTTTTTCATAGTGTTATAAATGAACAAAATATAAAATAGTGCAAAGTTGCATTTATAAAAAAAATTAATTGGAAATATCCACAATAAAGTTGGGTCGTCAAAAATGTACCATTTTTTGAACATGAGTACCAAACGAAAAAAAAAGTACCAATTTTGGTATTAAGTACCATAAGTGGCAACCGTGAATGCATCCCACATAGTTCATTTGAGATTTCCCATTCGAAAAATTGAACTAACTCAATTTTTACTGCCAAACTCAGAGGAAACAACAATATTAGTGGAAGAAAGTGTGAACTAATTAAATAGTCAAAATCTTAGTTTCTACTGGCTGAGTCTTTCTCTGACTTCGCATTCGTTAAACATGGGGTAGTCATATATAACATGCACAGCAAATAACACAAATCGATAAACGAGTAAACGCATGTGATCGGTTTTTATTTAAATATATAAAAATAGCTAATGTGTCTAACCACAATAGTTCCAAACTAACGTTTATAAGTTAAAAAATTTGATTTGCAGCATTATTTAAATACTTATAACAATTCAGTACTATGACAATAATCCAAAGATTTTTCTAAAATTTCACTCTGAAAGACAAACATAAGCTGTGTGAATACTTAAATTACCAATTCCTTAATACGTATAATCTTTAATCTAACATGCAGTAACTTCAAACCAAAGTACATGAGAATTGTAATGCATATAATTTTATAATTCGTTATTATCCAAAACCACTATTTAATTATATTATTTTTAAAATAATAATAAACTTAATTTCTTCACTTACCCTTACCTGTCAATTAATTTTAATTTCTATTTATAATTTAAATTTAAATAAAGGTTTAAATAACATTGTGATTTCAGATTGCGCATTTTATATCCCACGCATAAAAAATTAAAATACTATTGCTTTTTATTAAATAAATGCCAAACATTTGAAATAATATTTCAGTTTTATAAATAAAATTATATATTAAAAAAAAAAATATAAGTAAATAATAATAATAATAAAAAGTTATTGCGCTACTTACCTCACCGTTCAAAAAGCAATATATCATTGCAATAAAAAATCCCTGAAATGAGGTTAGGAAATGCGTGCCATACGACCACAAAGCAAATTTCCATGGCGTATTCAGTGTTGGAACTAAATGTAATAAATTCGTAATGCCTAAAAGAGGTAGGAGAACAACAGCCGCGCGTACTGCTTTTCGCGTCTGTTCGATATCACTTGCCTGACTTTGACGCAGCTTCACTACCAAAACCCGTATAATATTCAACAGGAAGAAGAAATTTAGCTGAAAATATTATAAAAATATTTATTTAATTAAATTATTGTAAAGTAAGAATAGGAAAAATTTTTATTGTAAGTTAATATAATTACTTACCAATATAACTATCAGCCGTGGCCCTTCTAGGATCCAATAATAAGGCGTCAAGTTGTAGTTCCATAAACAGTCATGCGCACTGTCTGTATAGACGGCGGTACATATAACCCAAACTGTTGTCATTAATATGGGCATACCCCAGCCTATCAGCGAAAATATTGTGTGCGGAAATCGTCCTTGAAATACAGCTACTGTAACCATATTATGTAGATACAGGCCTTCTATGAACATCCACATAAACATTGCAGTTCTCGCATACTCAAGCAATGCATATGAAGCTTCACATAAATAAGGCTGCGGGGGAATAGATAATTATATTCGTTTTTTGAAATGAAATTTAATTTTATTATTTAATTTATTTTATTTAATAAATTACTTTTTTATATAAAATAATAAAATAGATATAATTTTATATAACATTCATAAAAAATATATATATAATTTATAATAATTTATAATAGTTTATATTTGTCATATTGCTTATCAAGATAACACTATGTTCAGACATACCTTAATTTCGCAAAAATCTTAATTTCATCTCCGTTTCAGCGAAATTAAATTGTTTTTTCCACACAAAATTCAGTTTTAAGGTTAGAATGAAATTAAAGAAAATGGTCTTCAACCGAAGGCTGATATTAAGGGACATTTCAAATGCAACTATGCGTAAGATAAATTTTGAGCAAAATATTACGATTAAGATGCAGGGTTGTATTTTAATTTTAAATTTAACATGCTGAATTAAGTATTAAACAGATCTAATTACATTGTATTACATATAATTGAGATATGTATAGTCAGCTAAGCGAAACCTTGGCAAAATTTTATTATTTTTATTTTATGGGACGTTTTTTTAGCTACATGAGAACTATCGATTTTGATAAGTATGGTTTGACAGCTGAAAATGTCGAACAATGAACAATGCTTTTAGATTGTAGAAATTTATTTTGAATAAAATAAATTTGTTAGAAGTTTATAGAGCACTTTACCGATTGAGTGATGAATCTTATTTCTAGTTAAATAGTTACGCCAATAAGCGAAATGGCCGTATATGCAGCGAAGATAACTCTCAAGCCGTTAACGAATCACCAATATATCTATTAAAACTAACTGTTTGGTGCGGTTTACGCGCTGGCAGAAGCATCGGTCTTTATTTCTTCCGAAATGAGGAAGGAGCTGGCGTTACGGTGTTACGATGAATGGCGAGCGCTATCGAGCTATGCTGACTGAATTCTTGTTTCCTATAATATATCATCGACGATTTTTGGTTCTAGCTTTCCATCTATAGGGGGCAACTTGCCAAAGATATATTGCAAAATGAATTTGGTGACAACTTTATTTTTAAAAGTGGACCTATAAACTAGCCGCTGACCCCTCCTTCGTGCGATTTAACGCTTCTTGATTACTTTTTATAAAGTTTTTCCAAAAATTAATCAATTTAACATAGACGATACTTGGTTCCAACTTGCCATTTGTACGGCGCAACTTGCCAAAGACCACACTTAACAATAGATGTATTGCGAAATCTATTTGATGACAACTTTATTTTCAAAAGTGGCCCTGTCAACTAGCCGCTGACACCCTCCTTCGTGCGATTTAACGCTTCTTGGTTACTTTTTATAAACTTTGGTTTCCAAAAATTAATCAGTTTAACGTCGACGATATTTGGTTCCAACTTGCCATACAGCGCGCTTAACAATCGGTTTATTGCGAAATCAATCAAATTGACAACTTTATATCCAGAATTGGCCGCTGACCCCTCTTTCGTGCAATTTAACGCCTCTTGATTGCTTTTTATGTCAAGTAGGGCTATGTTAAGTCATTGGTTTATGCCGACAATTGTCAAACCAGCAACTTTTAAAGCGTTGAAACCCAATATTCATGCCATCATTAACTCCATACGGTCACATTTATTGCAAAAAATTATCAAAAATTGGTCTGATTGTATGAACCATGTAACTCGTAGCCGTGATGGATATATGCAGGAAGTCATATTCAAATGATTGTCAAATAAAGTCATATAAGTGCCAATTTCATTCCAACAATATTTCTGTCTTGTAGTAATATTTTAAGTTTTTATGCAGCTAAAAATATACCCTATATGCTAAATCAAATTGACCGGTTTGAACACATATTTTGAGATATCTGATATATTAAACAGTTAGATTACAAGAAATCTATGCTATCTTTAATACTATACTAATAATAGCATAAAAATATTTAGAAAATATTTATTTCAATATTCAATATCCTTAAATATTAAATATTATTACCAAAGTAATTTTTTAAAAAAAATTAATTGAATTATATTAATATTTTATTATATTTTAATTTAATTAAAAATATGAATACAATATTTTAAAATTTTGGTTGTAATTTATTTATGTAATAAATCGGATTATTAGTAGATTTCGTATACCATATATACTATATGTTCGAATAATATTATTAAACTGGATTATTTTAAATTGCATGAAAACAGGTTAAAGGAGTCCCTAAGGTAAAAGGGTATTGAGTTATAAAAACATTATCCACACTTTGTGCAATTGTTGCCATTGTTGATTTTATGAATTTTTATTTAATAATTTAGTGTTCGGAAAGTTCATGACATTTTCCATGCGGAAATAAAAGTGCAGACAGACAAATGCACAATTTTCCTCGTTGTTTATTTCCGTTTCTGGTGTGAGGTGCCATTTCGAGCTTCAGTTGAAATAATTTTTTTTGCACTAAAAGTTTTTATTTCTTTTATTGCAAATAAACAATTGAAAGAGCATAAACCAATTGCATAAAAACAAATGGATTCAAAAGGACTTTTTATATATTGTAACTTTAAATCGTTCTAGTATTAATAATCATTTATCTTATTTTTTTCGCGTTGAGTAGATTTATTACTGACAAGCAATTACCGCGATTTTGCCATTGCGATAAATTCTAAAACCATTATCGCTTATTTATATATATTAGTTAAACTAGAAAAAGAAATAGAATGGGCCGATACTCTCAAATACCTAGGCATAACCTTTGATAACAAGCACTCCTGGAAAGCACATTTCAAATCCAAACGAGCTCAAGCTGACCAAATATTACACATTCCTTCACCCGCTCATCAGCAGCAAAAAGCTCAACATAAAGTATAGAGTTAGCATATTTAAGCAGATTATTAAACCAGGACCACTCTATAGCAGTATTGCGTTTTGCCAAGCGCCAAACTCAACTTTAAAAATTCTTCAAAGAGGACAAAATATTGCCTTAAGAAAACTGGTTAACGCCCCATGGTACGTAAGAGGAGCGGATATCCACAGAGATCTGCGGGTCGCTTCAGTCGAAAAATACATTAAAGATCGTGCTCTGAAACTGTTCAATATAATTGACAGTCACAATAATTCAACACTCAGCATCCTAAAAATACAGCGAGATTTGATAAACACAGGCAGATACAAAGACATCAGATCCATCATATTATAAAGCCCCGTATTCAGTTATTCTTAGTGTGACTTAAAACTGTCCACAGAGAAAATAGAGTAAAGGTGCTGATTCACCAATTCAGACATCTGAATATCAAATAAATGTACATTTATATATATTAGTTATATATATTAGTTATATATATTAGTTATATATACATTGTGACCGAAAAGTTTTCGGAGGTTCTCATTTAAAATTCGCGCGCTGTATATTTTTCGATATTTTAAGTTTATGTAGTTTGGCAGCACTGTCCTTAATTACTATGCCAAAAATGAGCGCGATCTGTCGGACAGTTCGTTTACGGCAGCTGTTGAAACCAGTTCACCTCAGTAGTGCGTTGCGAAAAAAACAATGGAAAAAAATATTGAACAAAGAGTTTGCATCAAATTTTGTTTTTCGAACGAAATTTCGTGTGCAGAATCGTTGCGAATGCTACAAAAGGCTTATGGGGAATCAGTTTTATCGAAAACTCAAGTTTATGAGTGGTACAAAGCCTTTCAGGACTGTCGTACGACCGTCGAAGACATGCCGCGTTCTGGACGACCTTCGACCTCTACCACCGACGAAAACATTGAAAAGGCAAAGGAAATCGTGTTCAAAAATCCTCATGTGAGTGTTAGAGAGATAGCACGAGAGCTAGGCATCGGTCGTGAGATGGCTCGTTTGATTTTGGTGGACAATTTGTGTATGCGACGTGTCAACGCCCGGCTTGTTCCGATTCACCTCAATTTGTTCAACATTATCAACGATTTTAAGGCCAAACATTCAATAAATACCATCGAACAGCCACCGTATTCACCTGATCTTGCACCGTGTGACTTTTTCCTGTTTCCCAACCTCAAATTACCACTCAGAGGAACGCGTTTTGAATCCATAGAAGACGTAAAACAGAATTCGCAGAGGGAACTCAAAGCCATACCGGAAAGCGCCTATAAAAAATGTTTTGATGATTGGAAGAAACGTTGGCATTTGTGTATCGCTTTCAATGGAGCATATTTTGAAGGAGATAAAATAAATATTGATGAAGATTAAGAATTTTGCGTTTTATTTAAAATTTCCGGAAGCTTTTCGGTCACAATGTATTAGTTATATATATTAGTTATATATATTAGTTATATATTAGTTAAACTAGTTAAATTTATATAAAAATTACACTCACCGTATTTTCAATTCCTAGCGTGCTTGTATTTGTAACCATCGTCTGGTTTCCCCGCCTGAAGGCCTGATCCAAATAAAGCGTTAGTCTAACTACGACTTGAAGTACCATAGCAATGAATAGATTTTTATGAATTTTTGTACGATTATTACGCAGTGAACGAAAATTACAAAATATTATTAAAGATAAAATTAATGCTAGTAGAGATAGTATAAGCCCAACAATTTCTAAAGTACGTGTACGTTTCGCAATTTCTAGAAACGGCTAAAAATAAAAAATAAAATATAATTATTTATTTTATTATTTATAATAGATAAACAAAGGGTGGTAATAAAGAAGAAATTTTGGAATCCAAATGAAATCTTTTCATAATCAAGTGAATTTTGGACAGAGAGTTATCTAGAAATATCCATCATCAATGGTCTTTGGAATTAACTGTTAGTTTAACTGTCCATATATAATTACTGGAAATATATACGGACGATTTGTTAAGCCAAGAACTCGGTTGATTATAAAAACTTATGATTCCTTTGGTTTTGGCAATTTCCGCACTATTACTATTTTTTTCTATTCTATTCTATAGAAAATAAAAAATATATTCTATTTTCTTTTATAGGACAAAAAATTCTTATTTATATATATAATGTTAAAAATTATCTTACATCTAAGTGCTTCATTTGCTGCATGAGCTCAGTGACTTCCGGTTTAAAACAAGGTTGATAATCAGTCCAACCGATGGGGTTATGAGTCTCATTTGGACGACCACCCCAATGACCGTCTAATTCACATTTTCGATTTGCAAATTCTAGAATTGTATTAAAATTTTTTTTAGGTTAAGTTAAATATATAGTTTAAGTATAATATATATTTTGATTTATATATATAGTTTTTCTTTCTGTTTTTTAAACTAGTGGAGTGCATATTTACTCCGGTACTGCCGGTACTGTTGGGTTATTGAAATTCTTATTATTGTTATTAATTAATAATATTATTATTATTATAAAGTTTAGCTTTTACTTAATTAGCAATTTATAATAATTCAAATTTTTATATAATTAATTATTTGAAGAAATACGACTATAGACGAATATGTAGTTAGATAAAAACAAAGTTACACATTACTATTTAAGAGAAGTCCAAAAATTAAAATCTAGTACTAAATTATTTCTGTGCTCCGGGACAGGTTTTTATAACTGAGATAGGTTCTTCCAGACACTTTTATTGTGTTTGTTAAATACCGCTTGATTAAAATAAGTTGTACCAAAATGTTTTCTTCTGGAAGCATTCAGTATAATTTGTATATTATATCAGAAGACGTATATTACTATAGGTATATATATTTATATATAATATATATGTATATATATAATCCGTATCCTAACAATCATCTTATAATCTCATTTATATGTACTCCTTATCTCAAAATGAGGTTCTATATACGAAGGTATATATGTGCATCCTATTGTGATTCCATGGTAGAAGCACAAGTATATTAAAATTTATTATTCCACAAATACAAAGCTTTCAACATCATTACACACTGAATATTGGATTGCGGCCTCAGCCGGATGCCTTTATTATGCTAATGGCTGAGGTTTTCTCAACTCGTTCTTTAGAAGTGATTTTTATGGGTTTAATAATACTCTTTAGAGTTCAAAACTGGCAAATATGGTGGATGTAGAAGTAATCCGAACTCTCATGCAATTTTGTCTTTATAGACGATTTCTTTCTTCTTCTGTATATGATATTCATTATTGAAGGTGTTTTCTTTTCCAAAGTACTAGATGACTATTGCATTATATAGATCCCAAAATACATTCCACGATCCCAAAGGTCTCAAAAGTAGTCGATGACTATTATATCACATCAATTCCAGGGGATATGGATGACATATCCCTTGCTAACCCTTTGTTACCTGGACTTTTACCAGTTACCTCGTAGAGCTTATTGTTCGAATACTGTAAAGAAATCATATATTATTTTATTATGGACATCCAAGCATCAGTTACATATGCGAGTATATAATCGATGTAACTATGGTTATTACAAAATCATAATTTTGTGAAATAGTGCCAATGACTAAAATAGTCTTAGTTCGTCTTAAGAAGTGGGTCATGTATTTTAACACATGTTAGTATTAACTTCTACAAATGAACTTAGATAGTTGAAGTAATCAACTAGGAATGTCCGATAAACTAATGTTGTTCTTATAACATATTCATTTAACAGTTTTTATTTTTAATTTAATTTTTTTTCTTAATTGATTAACTTATTTATTTATCTGATACATCGAAGTCAAACAAAACAAAACCTATCTGAATGTTTCTATGCAAAAGCAGGATTAAAAGTTTTATTTTAAAACTAAAAGTTATTTGTATTATATCTATGTACTAAACATTACCACGTGTTAGCAGGATAAATTACAGCTGAAGAAGACAAAACATCTGTCTATTGTATATATCTAATTTATGATGGAATTTATTGAGTAAACTTACGTTGTCGTATCTGCAACAGTTGTGCATATGAAAACAATTAAAGTTATATTTGCTGATGTCGATGGAGGTAGAGATACAAGGAAATACATTGTTTATATGTTCTATTTTAGAAATTATTTACATCAGTAATAACAATTGAATTTCCACTGATCGTATTTGCAGACATATGCATACTCGCATTTCGAGGTACACCTACGTTCAAAAATCTCAGATGCACTTGAACTATTATAGCGAATTTAATTATAAATAAATTGTTTTAATTGCATTGTTTATGAATGTCATTGCAATGAGATTCGCTATGATTTATCTCATTCCAGTTTTATTTTAATTACAATTTTATTCAAAGAACAAAAAATTGTTTTTGCTGAATATATAAACCTCCGACTAAGATTCTAAGCATATATAGAATGTAAAAGCCGTTAAGTATTATAATAAAATGAAAATAATGAAATTTTCAAAATGATATATATTAAAATAATTCATATTGTTAAACGTAAAAATAAAATAATTCAGATAATTTTCAAACAGACAAGCGAATGTCATAAAAATTATCTGAAATTAATTATATTATTTTACATTGACGTTAAGGCATAATTTCCGCAATGAATTTCCTTTGGATGCATTTTGTTTACTTCTTAAAAAGTTCATGTCATAATGTAAATATTAAATCCATAGAAAAATAAAATTTGGTACATAGCTTACTAGCATCCGTCCCTATGCTTTTGGGAATATGAGTTTTTTATTTCTTTGAAATCTATTATCAGTTCAATACATTTCTCAAAACAGCTACATTTTAAAGTATACATACGATGAGGGTATAGTGAAACAGAAAAGTTTAACTAGCTTGAGTCAAAAATAATATCTTCAAATATCGTGCATTTGACATTGTTGCACAAATAGACAAAGCGATAAGTCTATTATAGAACAGGATATATATTTTATAGGCGCAAAATTTTGCACAAATAGACACAAGCGACAAGTCTATTATAGAACAGGATATATATCTTATAGGCGCAACATTTTTTACTTGAATCAAAGAAAAGGTCCACATTGATAAAAGTTGAGTAAGAGACATACTGAAAATATGACACAGTGGTTAAACAGTGAAAATGGTTGTATTATTTTTCGAGGTATTCCCCATGATGATCAACACATGTTTGCATTCGATTGAACCAATTTTCGAAACAGTTTTGTCAATCTGAAGTTGGTGTCTCCAAAACCAGGGTTTTAAATGTTCAACGACCTGTTTGGATGTACATAAACGGTCGCTACGCTTCTTTTTTATGAAAACCAGTAAAGTTATTGTCAAGTCGAGACTGTAAGTGGGATGATCCTTACAGAGAATACGAAATTACAATTAACGAAGAAGATAAATTTGCAATTGTACCTTGAATCTCTTAATTCTCTACTGAATTTAAGAAAATCGGTTAAAGAGAGAACATTATGACTCAATAAGCTTTATGTAATTCTTATAAATATTGGACAATAAGTAAATATTGTATATAAGTTAGTTATTGCCAATTGCTGTGGTTGCCAAAATGGACGGTGTATCAAATGTAGTAATATTTATATATAGAGTTGAATATATTTAGCTGATATAAATACATTATCTACCATATTTAATATTATTATTAAAATTGTGATTGTGACCATCGTTTTGACGAAAGAAACAAAATTCTTAATATAGGTAAGGTTTTTATCAAACATTAGTAAAATTTTAACAACATAAGAATATTTAATTTTTTTTAATTAACTCAAAGTATAACACTTCGTTCAATAATGTGTGTGACTAACTAATTAAAACACATTTTTTTGCCAAAATTCGTTTTTATTCATCAACATAATCCCCTTTTAGGGAGATACAGTCATTCCAACGCTTTTGCAATCTTTCAATACCGCCTTTGTAAAACGATTTTTCTTTGCCTTCAAAATAAGCGTTAGTTTCGGCGATTACTTCATCATTTGAGCCAAATCTCTTACCAAGGAGCATCTTTTTGAGGTTTGCGAAGAGCCAGTAGTCGCTGGGGGCCAGATCTGGAGAATACGGTGGGTGCGACAGCAATTCGTAGCTCAATTCGTTCAATTTTGCCATCGTTTTCATCGACTTGTGACACGGTGCATTGTCTTGGTGGAACAAAACTGTTTTCTTTGCCATATAAGGCCGTTTCTTTGCGATTTCGTCTTTCAAACGCTCCAATAACGCTATATAATAGTCGCTGTTAATGGTCTTCCCCTTCTGGAGATAGTCGATGAATATTATTCCATGCGCATCCCAAAATACAGACGCTTACAGAGGCTTTCACCGGCTGCATGCCACTCAGCAGACTGCCGATTTGACTCTGGAGTGAAATGGTGGATCCATGTTTCATCCATCGTGATGTACCGACGAAAAAACTGCGACTTATTGTGCTTTAACAGCTCTTTAAATCATCGATTCGTTGTTGTTTCTGCTCCGGTGTGAGCAAACGCGGCACCCATTTGGAAAACACCATTTTCATACCCAAATGTTCGTGTATTATGGTGTGTATACTGCTTGCTAATATCTGTAGAATGTCAGCAATCTCCCTCACTTTCACTTTACGGTCGGGCATAATGCTTTTCAGTGTTTTTTCAACGTTTTCTGGAATAACAGCGTCATTTGGCCGTCCAGTAGATGGAATGTTATCGGTGTCTGTACGACCACGTTTGAATTCGGCATATCAATAACAAATGCTTCTTTTTGATGGAGCAGAGTCCGAATAATGTTTTTCAAGCCATTCCTGGCATTGAACAGTATTTTTTTTTCATTAAAAAACAATGATAAATCAGCACACGGAATTGCTTTGAATTCGTTTTTTTTTTTGAAAACTCAAAAGTAGCGTCACTTAAAGCACTGTAACTTGTAAACAAATGGTCGGATTAACATATGATTTTGACAGTAAGCCTAAAAAGGTTGTCACTTTCGAAAAAAATATTTATTTAGTATTAGTGCCGCCATCTATGTGTCAGAAACACACATTATTGAACGACGTGTTATATTATGTATATGTGTAAAGCAACTCTCTAGTGTTTTCTGTAAACTATATTTCAAAATGTATTTTCATTCTTATATAGGTGATATATATCTTATGTATCTATTATTAGTGTTTTACTTTTAATTTCAGCAATTAAACACCTCTTCGGCAGTTAATTATGTGTTTTCAAGTTAAAAATTATCATCATATGTGTAGATACCAATTTCACTTACAAACACACCTTTTATTTATATATACTGAATATAATTACTAAATCATTATTTATATCTAGAAAATTATATACCAGAAACTGCAGT